GACTAATGTCACATATAGGTCACATTTAAAAGATAATGTGAACAGCCAAGCAAAATAATCGTATTTGGTGAGAAAATCAGACCTTCTGACCAATAAACAAACACCCGCATGTGTAGTTTAGTCCACTTTAGCCTTTGCAGTGTGAATCCAACAAAACCGAATAGATATAACAGCACAAAAACCCAACCTCTGGTGCTTTGACTTAAAAAAAATGAACTGGGTATGAAAACAGATTGATGCTGTTCAGAGATATTGGTTAGTTTGCTATCTCAGGGGAAACAATAAGAGCTGCACTTTCGGAGGAGTGGCGTAAAACAAAGACCAGAGAGCTGGAGAAAAGTAAGCCATTTTGAAGTTGAGAAAAAAGGGGAAATTGATCAGAGCCCTTGCACCAGCATTAGGCATTGGAAATGCTCTGGAAAAAAGAAAGAAAGCACTGCTGTACAAACAACCAAACATCGAACATGTCGGCCAAAGAAGGCAACAGCAGTTGATGACAGAAACATTGTGAGAGCTGTGAAGAAAAACCCAAAAACATCAGTCAGTGACATCACCAACAACCTCCACAGGGCAGGGTTAAAGGTATTACTATCCACTATTCAAAGAAGACTTATAAAGGAAGATAGAGCAGAATTACAGAGGCCATACCACAAGATGCAAACCACTCATCAGCGGGAAGAATCATAAGGCTATACTGGAATTCCTAAAGAAATACAGAGATAAGCCACAAAAAGTTCGGACTTTTATGGACTGATGAGACCAAGATTAACCTTTGCCAAAGTGTGAAGCCATGCAGTGCTTGCACAGATCTTTACTTTGCAAGGGTTTCGCAAAGTAAAATCATCACAAAAAGGACAGCTGCCGTATTTAAATGATGAAAAACTGATGAAAATCGACTGAAATTGTGATTTTTTTTTTAAACAGCAATGATATTAAATTTATTCTGTGGCCTCTAAATGTACAGAGAAACTTCATGTATTCAAATGTACACTGTATGTAGTTAAATCAATGAATAAATTCAGTGCAATGATTACTCCAGCCTCTATGTGTTTGAGGACACCATGTTTGCGTGACACTAGAGGCTGTAAAAGATCTACCACTCAGCCTGAAACAAACTAGGGGAAACACTGCAACAACCTGTAATGAAAAGCGCTAGACATGCTATTGACAATAAACAGCAGAAGCTACGATCCATTCTCACAGCACAGGCCCAAAACAAAACCTTACAGCGTGTAAATATGGAAGTGGGTGACACTGCAAGTTTCATAAAGCCTTTAAAGTATGTCGTCATGCTGCAAGTGGATGTTCACAAGAAGGAAGAAATAACTGTCAGATACAAGAAGGATGAAATAACTGTCAGATTTTATCTGTGAAATTAGCATGTATCCAAAGCTGAAGCCTCAGGGCTGGTTCACAGAAAGCTGTGATCTATGTGGGCTACAGCTCAACGGCATTCTTTCAGTTTCAAGGTTTCTTTCAGGCTTCATGCAATTCTAGTAGAGGGGAACCCTCAGAGCCTTGTACATTCTTGGAAATAAAGATACGAATTTTTTTTCACTGGGGCAGTACCCCTCTTGTTACTGGGGTGGGACCCTCAAGGGAACATGTCAGTACCTTTAGTCAGGGAACATAACTGTACCAAAATTCACTGAAATTCTATTTTCTAAGTTGTACTGACCCCATATCCTGTTGGGTTTTTTTATTTATTTAAACATAAAATTAAAAGGTACAAATATGTACTTATCCAGTGGGAAAAAATCATTTAAGGTGCACGATTCGACCTCAAAACCACTGTTGCACCTTTAAGGTGAACATTTACACTGTTTGTACCTTGATGAAAAAAAAATATACCTGCACAGCACCTTTATTTCTACGAGTGTAGGCCTAATGATTGTTAGGAACTAAGGTAGGTCTTTAATTTTTAGTTAATTTTTATTAAATAGAATCATGCTTGTATTTAAACTTTTTTTTATTGTATTACAGTTCTTTTTTTATTGTTAAGTATACGATGGAAATAAAAGGGTTTAATTCTTAAAATACCAAGCAGAAAATGGGCCAATCAGGAACTGGTTTTCTCTGTAGTATCTTGGTACATATAACTGAGCGAGCTCTCCTGTTGATTAGAACTTCAAACGCTGAAGAGAAGCCCTAATGCATTAGGTTAACTATCAGCATAATTGTAAAGTGGCAGAGACACCAACCAGTAACGTTTTGATTTCCAGTGGATGGGACCAGTGGATGGACTGACTTTTAGAAGTTTCAGATGTCTAAGTTAGAACTGTCTTTTTCGCAGTTACATTCAGATGCTGCACTGTTTAAGGTGGAACGGAGAATTGAAATTAAAAGCTAACTTCAGGCTTGTCAGAAAGGCTAAGTAAAGTCCCAAGAGACACAGAGGATTAAAAATGTTCACATGATACTAAACCATAAAAAACAGAGACATTATAAATGAGGAGACTGGCCACTGGTTGAAATATGAACAGGAAAGCTTGTAAAGCTCAATATGGTGCCAATCAGCTTGCTAGTTATGGCGAGTGGGGGAAAGGTCACACTTGTTGTGGACAGAGACAGAACAACATGAAAAAAGACCTTTTTTGTGCATTATCAAGCCAAGCGCTACAAACTATTTATGAGGTCTTTGTCAGATTTTATCTGTGATGTCAAATGTTTCTGAAACGCTAATTTGACCTTCAGTTTCGAATATTTAGGTCTCTCCCTATTTAACAAGATAGGAGCCTGGTCTTCTGATATGGCTCAAAATAATTGCCTGATGACACTGAAAAGATGGCCGCTTAGTGAACAGTCTTTCTTATAAGAACTTAATATGATGAAATACAGCTTTAAAAAAAAAAACACTGATTCAACCTATCTGAGAACTGTGTGGGAGTGGCTAATGAGCAGCTTGATTGACAGCTCTCTGTCCAACACTTCTAGCCCACTCTGCCCCTCATACAAAACTAAAATCATTAGGACTGCCCAGTTTACATCAAGAGAGGAGAAATATGGTGAAATATAGCAGACATTTATTAGACTTTAGGGAGGTACATGTATATTTTGGGCCCAGAGAAACAAGATTAACTTAAAAACTGAGAAAACTCCTGGGGCTTTAAAAACAGCTCACAAGAATGTCAGTTTCATAAAATGTTGAAGGGATGTGGATAATCTCCTGTGATCAAATTTGAGTCTTTTTAATATAGAATTATTTGCTTAAGACTATATTCCTTACAACCTAGGAATACAGTTTTTTTGGCAGTTGCATCTCTTCGAGGCATCCCAGTCCCAATGGCACAAAAATTGAAACTGGGTTTTTCCATCACCATATAACTGGGTGAAATGTGACCATTCGGGCCTTGGGCCTGCCTGACAGAGACTCTTGCTGACGTCATTAAGATGCGCACGAGGGACACTTACTTTGCTGACTGAATCTTACCAGTGACACTGTTTAATTAGGCTTCTGAACCAATTCAAGTCTGCATTATAATAGTTTTGGTTCGTAATAATGAATCAGCAATAGCGAATGTAGATTGTCTAATTAACATATAATTTGCATACAAATATAACTCTTTCTCTGGACTCTGGAGTTTTAGCCTGCTGATTTCTTTCTTTGAGCTTTTCACTTAATTAAGCCTTTGCGTGTGAGGTTATGCGTGTTTGTGTGAACGTGATGACCTCCTGAGATTAATTCTCTTTATTTTTAACCATTCCTTAGCTTATGTTTACTTTTTGGTGTTTATATAGTACCAAAACATATCTTTCTATTTAAACTTTCGAATGTATTTTACGTTTGAAATTTAATGTGTGGTCTTTTTAGTTTTTGGGGCATAACGCATCACAGAAATTGTGAATGGGTGTTTTTCGTACATTTGTAAATTACTATTTCAATCATGCTGCGGTAAATTACCCAACAATGTATATATCCCATAGTCTTGAACATACTTAGCGACGCTTTAATCAACTATTTGTTCCTTAAACACCCTCTCAGAGGTTTAACGCAGCTCTTTATTTGGCCCTAAGGTGTACGTCATAAGATGCTCAGCGAGTTCTGTTAGCTTCCTTCCTTCCTTGCGTGAGCGCCACACCCACTGACAGTCACCTGCTTCAGTCGAGAGCAGCGTGAATGTCAAGCTCCAAAGTCTGCTGTAAAACGCACTGGCAGTTGAAGACTGTCATCTGACCACAATGTTCCTGACATATGGCCGTTTTCTTTAACAGAGCTAACAGCAAATGCAACGTTTCAGTCAGCAGGAAAACAGAGACTTCCCGCAGTCCTTCGCATATTTGCTGATCTACAAGTAGATCTACACAGAATTGATGCTTGTTTATGAAATATAGATCTACGATATTGGACAGCGGCTACATTACTCAAACACTGGCCATATGAGCTATATTTGGGCCGTTTTGAAAAGCTTAGGGGCTACATTTTTCAAGCACGAAGGAAGCTGTATGTGGTTTCTTAGTAATGTCGTTTTCAGTTTGATTTTCTTAATGTCTCAACCTGGCTAAAGTGTCTATTCACTATTAGCCTCTTCATGTATTTCTCAACACAGACATGATTTTTAGGTTACAGCAGCTGAACGATCATCAACTAACTAACCTATAGTTATAACGTCACATAGGCACAAGTTAGTCCTTCACTGACGTTATTTATCATCTAACGGAAAAATATCTAGCTAGCGGACCTGCCGTGCCAGCTGTAGGTTAGCTAACCAGCAGCAGTCTGAAAACCGGCACCAGCTCGCAGGCTATCAGGTGCCCACAACCTTCCATCCATCCCGCCCTCCTGTCCCTGAACCGCCCCGTCCACCCCAGTCCCTCCCAGACTAGAATTAAACCAACGATTTAACCAAAAAACAAGTATTTTACTGGGCTGACCTCCCTGCACAGACTAGCGTTCTCTTTAGCAAACAAAGGCCCAACTCTCTTCGTCTTTCTCGATGGAGACGGACAGCGCGTTACAAAACGAAAAGCCGGTGAACACAACACAGATCAAAACCTCCTACCGAAGCGTTGGACCAACGCAGGCTGTGTCTGTGCTTTCAATCTCCTGCAGAATGCGCTCATGCTCGGTGATACTCTCCAAGGTTTCGCTCTCCGCCATGTTGGCTGTATGTTGCGAGAATGCGGCTGGAGGCGCAGTGAGAGGGGGTGGCCGGCAGGGGGCGGCAGAGAGGCTACATTCAGCACGCACAGCGATGAGGTCAGCGTGGGGTAAATCATTAAACACAGCTTCTACACTTTTTAAAAGCTCAAGGAGAGAGTAAAATCTTAATACTCCTGCTACTACTACTAATATACTACTCATAATAATATACGATTACTTCTACTGTTAATAATAAAAATGATAATAAAAAGAATTATTGTTGCTGTTACGAACAATATAATATATGAATGATAAACAACGATAACTACATTAATTATTAAATTATCATTATAGCTTTTACATATTTTTTATTAATTTAAGGAGGGAGTTCAATGACAAAAATAATAATAAAAGAACAACATGAAAAAGATTTGCTTGTTCCAATAATAATAATAATAATAATAATAAGTTATTATTATTATTATTATTATTATTGTTGTTATTATTATATGCATATACAACGCCATTACCAAAAAAAAGTTGGGATGATGTGCAAAATGTAAATAAAAACAGAATGCAATAACGTGCAAGTCATTTAAACCTTACATTTAACTGAAAATAGTACAAACACAACATATCAAATATTGAAACTGAGAAATTCAATGTTTTTTGAAAAATATATGCCCATTTTGAATTTGATGCCATCAATACATTTCAAAAAAGTTGGGACAGGGGCATGTTTACCTCTGTGTTGCATCCCCTCTGCTTTTAACAGCACTCTGTAAGTGTCTGGGAACTGAGGAGACTGCTTTTTGAAAGTGAAATGTTTTCCTATTCTTGATTGATGTAGGATTTCAACTGCCAAATGTTTTCAATGGGTAACAGATCTGGACTGCAGGCAGGCCAGTTTAGCAACCAGACTCTTTTACAACAAAGCCATGCTGTTGAAATACATGCAGAATGTGGTTTGGCATTGTCTTGCTGAAATAAGCAAGGCCTTCCCTGAAAAAGACATCATCTGGATGGCATATGTTGCTCCAAAACCAGTATATATCATTTAGCATTAATGATTATTATATTGTTCACCATAGAATTGTGTTTTAATACATCGCTGCCTGACGGGCCAAAGATCATGGCCAGCCAATACTGCTTTTTGGCCTTGTCCCTTGTATACAGAGATTTCTCCAGATTCTCTAAATCTTTTAATGATATTATTTACTGTAGATGATGAAATCCCCAAGTTCTTTGTTATTTTATGTTGAGAAACATTATTCTTGAATTGTTGTGCTATTTGCCAGCACAGTTTTTTACAGAATGGGGAACCCCTCCCCTTCTTTACTTCTGAAAGACTTTTAATACCCAATCATGTAACTGACATGTTGCCAATTAACCTAATTAGTAGTGAGATGTTCCACCAGATGTTTTTTTAGCGTTACACAACTTCACCAGTGTTTTGTTGCCGCGTCCCAACTTTTTTGAAACATGTTGCTGGCAACAAAAAAAACAATAAAATTTCTGTTTCAGCATTTAATATGTGGTCTTTGTACTATTTTCAATTCAATTTAGGGTTTAAATGATTTACACATCATTACATTCTGTTTTTATTTACATTTTTTACAGTGTCCCAACACTTTGGAAACAGAGTTGTAATTATAATAATATTTATTTATAGTAATATAATAAAAAGCTGTTAATCTGTAAACGTTTTGTTGTTGTTGTTTTTAATAGTAGTAGTAGTAGTACTTGATTGGTAGTAACACAAACACTGTCAGTTTACAGTGTTAGGTATTACATGTTAGATGTGAGCCTGACTAATCAGCTACATCTTATTGTTTTGATTTTTCTTATTTCAACGGAACATGCATGATAATACAGAAAAAAGATGAATTAGGCATTGGTCGAATCCCTGAAAATCATTCTTGTTTTCAAACTGAATGAGGATAGCTCTACCTTAAGGTTGTTCCCAAAGGCAAATCAATTGATTCAAGTTCTGCAAAAACATTCCCGTATATTTTTCCCTCTCTGATGTCCTCTTGTGGGGGACTCGGTGATGGAGCCCTCGCTCTGCTACTGTCCATGTTGCCTTTCCGTGAAGAGTGTGTTGAACACTGTGGAAAAAGACATTAAGCTTGTGACAGGACAGCACTGCTACTAGAGTCAGCGAAAAAATGCAACCGGTGCAGAAAGCCCAACCTCGTGATCTGCAGTACTTTGAATCCAACAAAACAGACATGATTGCTTTTTCGTTAAATATTCCTTAGGCTGCAGTGTTAAGGGGAAATCCACCATTTTTCAAATTTTCTGCATAATTGAATGCTCACTCAGAGTGGTTTGATATGGAGAAACTTGTGTAGAGAAACCTACAGAGTCAGAATTCACAGTTGTACTGATAGGAAAGGAGTCCAAAACATTGAATGCCTCTAAAAGCTTCCTCACAGAACATTATTAGATGAAATGGTTATGAATACACTGCCTGACACCTGAAACTTTGCTTTATGATAGTTTTGCGAAGCTTCTACCCTAAAATACATTCATGGCAGAGAATTACATGTGGGGCGTTTTAAGGAAAACAACAGTTGTATGCAAAAATGTGAACACTGGTCAAATGACTTTGAGTGAAAATAAGTTAACATGTCCTCTCTAAACTTAAATGTGGCATTGTTCTCCTAATTTTACTGCTCTAGTTCTATTTATTTTGCTGAGTTTAACATATTGGAAAAATGAAAACATAAGATATAAAATGTGCCATAACTTTTGCACAGTGCATAATTTGGTGTTATTTTTATGTTAAATTCAACAAATAAAGAGTAATTGTATACATTAAAATGTGCAGTAGGCATGTTCTTTGTAAAGAACTTATGTTCAATTAGAAAATCAACATCATTTGACCAGGGGCACCAACCAGGGGCACCAAACTACTGTATTTTTTGGTTTTACCACTATTTCATCTTTATTAACATTACATATGAAAACTCAGAAGAAATGTGTTTTGTAGACATCATAACCCCTGGTCCTATCACCATAAAGAAATCCAAGTTGGTAAGTTTGTCTACAATGAGGCACTTCACATCAAACTACTCAAAAATTGCTTCATGATCACATTTTGAAAAATTGGTGGAATTCTCCTTTAATTAACACTGCTTAGCACTAAATAGCATGGTAATAGATTTTAGTGAGGAAGCTCACTTTAAAGGATATTTTTCCTTCAAACTACTTAAGTATTTTATCAGAATAAATGCCAAACATTAAATTAATGTTATGCATTGTTGCATAATACTACTGAGACGGATAAGTAATAAAGAAAAAATAAGAATTGCTGTCATTATTTTCCTGTCAGAAAATGTCATAAATCATTGTACATATTCCAACATTGTCCAGTTTCCTATCTTCTGTCCTTCTTCTCAGGATTTCCTGAAAAAAGAGGGCGGGGGGGGGCGGGATGACATGACTAAACTTAAAAGCAATAAAAAGAACCAACTACAGGATGGGCACCATATTTTCTGCTAAAACATCTAAATTCGGTGCTTACAGATTATTTTGTCTTTTTTTCATTGTATTTAAGGCTTTTCTTGCCATAAGCAGTATAAGCAATTGCTTTAGGCCCACTGAGCCAAAAGAGACCCCGCTAGTATTTTTTTGTAGGGATGCACTAGAGATGGGCGATATGGCAAAAATAATATGTTGCGATACTTCAAGACATTTTCACAATGTACAATATGCATTACAATATTCAGTTTTTCTGAGATTTTAAAAGTTGGAACACACTACAGCTACACTGATTTTTATTCAATGTTTTGCAAACTGCAATAAATTCAATTAATCAGGCCTAAATATGCTAATTTTATGATGAAACGTGTAGTCAGTCAGTGTCCTTCAAGTACTGACGATATCCACAGTATGCTCAGAAAAAGCATATTGTGACATAATTTATCATGATAACAATAAAATGTTGTCCTATTGCCCATTCCTAGGATGCACTGAGACCACCTTTTCCCTTCGATGCCAATACCTGATCCTCAAGTATCTTGTGATCCGAAGTATCAATACCAGTACTAACTCTTATCTAACCTAACTACTCCATAGGTGCCTGTAAACATTTCCACTTTTTTAATACATTATGTCTGAAAGTTGACAGTGGTGTATTATTCTATAATGCCCACTCACTTTTTAATAAAAGCCATATTTAACAACTGAGATCAATTTTAAATACTTTTTATTGTGCAAAAGATATATAGTCCAAAAACAGAACTGAACAATATATAGATAAACCTATGATGCATATCTGCTGGAGTTTGGTAAATATTACAGTCATTTACACTGTCAGTAGCAGCTGTTGCCGCAGATTCTCACGTTTTGTATAGGCTCACTCGAACTCCAGCTCCGGCTCCACCCACCTATTATCACACCCACCTTCAGCTTGTTCTGGACTCATTATCTCCTGTGTATACAGACTACTTTATTTGGTTTGCTGTTTGTGAAGTATTGCTGCATTTCTATGCATTTCTAAGCTGTTTTCCTTGTTTCCTTGTCTGTGGTTATTTCTAGTATTTTGTTTTCTATTCACGTTGGGTGTGCCTGCCTGACTGTGTGCTGACCTCTACCTGATGACGAGTGTTGGATCACCCCTAATAAAGCCTATTCGCACATGTATGCTGCCTCAACTCTCCAACTGTTTCACCAATTTAGTAGTAAAAATGTGATTTTCATTACAATTAAAAAGAATAAATAATTTTCATTCTTTAAAATAATATTGCGTGGGGGTCCCCAAATAGGAAGTGCCCAAATGTTTGGTTAAATTAGATTTTTTTGTGTGTGTCAATCATGAAAATTGCTGAAATATGGTTTACGGAGACACCATTGATGGCTTTTCTTTTATATTTTGTTTTAGTGTTCTTTATTTTTTTAAAAATAACAATAAATTTACCCTTTAAATAGTTTTTGTGTGTGTGTTTGCCTTAGCATTTATTAAACATTTTTCCTGGCTAAAAATATATACTGTTCATTGTTTATCATAAATTAATATGATTGAAATGGGTGAAGGCCCCAAGTACAATGTCACT